GTCGCAGCCTCGGCCTTGGCAGCGTAGAAGGCGCAGGCCTTCCACTTCTTGGTTTTGGGGTCCTGCAGCTGCACCATGCACGGCTTAAACCGCCCAGAGCCTTTGTACTTCGCGCCCGAGCAGTGAGGCCATGATCTGAGAGCTTGCCCGCGATATCTTGCAAGAATCTCGCGAAGCTCTCGAACACAGATTCGGTGTCTCCTCGCCAGGCAACACCTCTGAGGCTGACACGGGTCTCTGCTCATAACACTCCAGAAGCCAGGCGCGCTGCTCCTGGTCATCGTCTAGCTGGGTGCCGTCGTACTCCAGTTCTGGTTCAGACTCATCAGAGACAACCTGGCAGGAAAGATGGTTTGGGGTGTGGGGGGTGAAGGTATAGTATAGCTGGCGCCCATCGTCCTGTTCGCAGCCCCGGAAAGAAGTACTGGGGCAGCCGGTCCGCGCTACTAAACCAGACGCCGTCAGGATGCTGCCCGGCTATAAATTCTGCCAGCTGCTTGTCAGATATTGTTGGTATACGGACGTGGCCAGCGCTTTTTCGTCTGCGGAATCCCAATCCGGACTCAGGACAGAGTCGGTTCTGACGCCCTCGGCACGTGAGACTCAGCGCTGGTCTACGAAACCTGCAACATAAGATGCCGGCCTGAACTGCAAGGTCATGGAGTCGAGACAGTTGGGTCACGGCACAGACAGAGACGACGTTGACACCCAGCGTCGGTCAACAGTATAGGACAGGACCGCGGCCGGCGACAGTGGCTGAGGTGCCTGTAGCTGCCATGCGTCGTTCACAGACACACAAGGCAGGGGCACCTGCCTCAAAGCCGAGCCAGCTGTCCAGGGCGAGCTGCATCTGAGACGGCAAGCAACGTGGGCACAGGTCTGAGTGTCTGAACGCAGCAACAGCAGGTCAGGATCCAGACTGGGCGCGCTGCCTTTCTCCTGCGGTCGGGACTCTGTCTAGCCCGTCTCTGACAGGGCGCTCGTGGTCTTATGACACCACGGCCTGGACCGGAATGTCTGGTCCAGGCAGCCTCTCCTGGCCGCAGAATGCACTAAGCATTGCTGGACAGTCAAGGCCAGCAGACATGACTGAGTTGCAGGCAGTGGCCATTTCCCGTCGCAGAGGTGTGGCAACTGAGTTGCGAACCGGCCACACAGTGACAGCAAAGAGGAATGGTTGGGACATCAAGCGCCCGGCATTCCTCCATCATCATGTCACCCAGGTCCAGGTGTTTCTGAAAGCAGCCGCGCGCTGCACGAACGTATCATCCCTCTATCAGCTTAAGAAGGCTTGCACGCCTGCAACTTCGCATGCCCAGGCGACAGCGGCGAAAAACTCCATGGCAGTGTGGCAGGCGAAGATCCAAACTTTTGGGCCTGATAGTTCAGGTCTGGCGCCACGCTTTATTCTTGCTCAGTAACGAATCCGTAGGACCAGCGACTTTGCTACCGGACATAGACTCTGACCGGCTTTGTGTGCGTCAGGCTCAATGGTGCCATGTTTAGCCCTAAGGCCAGTAAATGGTTAGGCCGTCGTAAACCCGCCTGTAGTCCAAAAAGTCTTGGTCGCGGAGTCTGGCGGCCTGCTTTCTGGACGCCTTCGGGCTTGGAAGTGAGACACTACGAATGATATCGAGAACAAGACTGATTTAGGGGCCTAGGGACTAGAGGGTCCAGGGACGAGAATGCAGTGCCAATTCTCACATGGGAAAAAATCTGACTTTTCAAAGGGCAAACAATCGGGCCTATTTTGCCGGAAACAAAAACGCCACAAGATTTAGGACTGCTTGAGGAGTTGGTGACTCTAGGTTGTAGTGTTGGCATGGAGCGAAAACTAACTGGAATGCGATGATATTCTTGACAGAAAATAAAAAAAAAACTGACGTCTCACAAGGTACAGTGGGGAGTTAGTCTTGTCGAGGCTTATGCAGCACCAGGTTTGTGGTGGGTTGTATGTTTCCTTTATCTGTCATACCAGCTACTCGAAAATCGTTGCCGAGTGTCTGCACGTAAGATCCACGGTGTCTGCAGGGCCTCTGGAGGGTTCAGGTCCTCGCAAGGGAGCGCTTCCGCTTGGCCGCAGGGTGCTGCCTTTCCAGAACTGAGCGGCGGGGCAGTTTGCCCTCGAAGATAGCCCGCAGCTTTTGTTAAGGATCTGCACGCCGATAGGACCCAGATCACCCTCCTCGGACACGTGCTCTGTCATGTGCCTCAAAAGGTCCGGGTTGTCTGCCAACCATGTCTTCAGACCCCGCCTCTGCCGGTTGATAACAACGCCTGCTTGCAGAGCATCCGATAAGTGAAATTGAAGTCCACGCGCCCAGACGCACGACCGCCTCGCCAATTGCGGGGCAAGCCTTCCAGCTCTGAGAGCATACGGCGGGAGCGGGACCAGCCAGGGCGACTTTGTCGCTAGCGCAGGCCCAGCGAAACAGTACAGCCTGCACATTTTTCGCCGTGAGCTCTCCCAGAGAGGATACCAATGGAGCGGTGGTTCTCACCGCCTGTCACAGTCTGCATTGCATGCGACTGCGTACGGCACGCTGCATCTGCTTCAGGAACCACTTTCGGGCCACACGTGTCGTCATCTTGGCAACCGTCCTCCGCTCCGCACGAAGAAGCGTGACGGCAGAAGCTCGTGGATGGAGTTGACGCTACGGACCCTGTCCTTGACTGCTTGCCACAGCTTCCCGGTTCTGTTGCTGGGCCTCCAGAACCAGGTGTGCAAAGGAGACACTACAACAGCGGCCAAGCAGGACGGCCATCTCACGCCAGCCATTGCCTACATTTCAGACCCTGCCGGAGGGTCTGATATCCAGGGCCCTATAGGGTCGAGGACAATATAAAGAACCACGTAATTAGACCCAGCCGTTTCGGCGACACTAGAGCTCCAAACACTGCAGAAATCACTCATGTCCGCATGCGCATCTGCCTACCGATTGCACGGCGAAACTTACTTTTCCTCAGCAAGCCCCTACATCACTTCCCAAGGCGTCCCCTGTGTGGCTTGAATGGTCTCGCGATCTTCAGAAACACCGTTTTGGCCTTCTGGTATGTCCACGCTTTCACAGGCTGCGAGCAAGCTCGGTGAAGCGGGTTTATCTTTTAACGAGGATTTACTGGGAGGTGTTCAACTCTCACACGCTATTCCAAAGACTTCCACGAGCCTGTAACCCCGCCGGCTTCAGCCTACGCTTTCTTCTCAGATCCATCACTCAGGAGATCGTCCCGCGTGTTGAAATGGGATCGCATTATCAGTGATAATGGAATAGTGCGATGGAGCCGGTGATAACTCCATAGCACGTCAAAAGTCGTAGCCGCAACAGCTGTCGTCGTAGACCAGCTG